TATTTTGATGCCATGGTTTTATTTATGGCTTTCTTGGATGTTTCTCCCAGCAAGTTGAGTGGCAAAACTTTGAAAGAACATGAACAATTGTCATGTGAAATGGGTAGGCATGGATGCTTTGCAGTGTGCATCATTGGAGGGAAATCTTGAACTGATAAGATCCCAGTTACATATGAGTATTTAAGCTTGTGTCAGGCATGGCCTTGGCACTGAGGATACAATGATAGGAATGAACTTACACACTTTGAAAAGCACTACTGCCATGGTTCATGGCGGCATAAGGGTGACTCTGGGTTTTTGAAGACTATGTCAATGTAGGCAGTAAGCTCTTGAAAGCTGGAAAGACTATGTGCATGTACCTGTGGATGGACTGTATGTGTGCCATCTGAGGACCAGTCCATCTAATGTTGGCCCAGAATGTCAGCCTGATCAACTCATGAAAGATAGTTGACTGAAGTGTGGAAGGGCCCTTACGTGTACTGATGAATGGAGTGCCCCCATGGATGAACTCTACCATTTGAAGTATTAATATAAGTATTAAAATAAGAAGTCAAACAAAAGTCATTAATACCAAACACAAGAAAGAAAACAATTAAAGTTGTCTGAACTTTAATAGGTTATAGGTAAATAGGATGGATCAAAAATCTCTGAATAATTTGAGCTGTGCAAAAGTGGAATGAGTTAACTCAGTTCCATTTATCATGCTAAGCTCTGGGGATGTAAAGACAAGTAAAAAAAAAACCAGCCCTGGCTTCAAGGAGCTTACAGTCTAATGGAGGGGCAATACGCAAGCTATTATGTACAAGCAACATATATATATGTATATATATAAATGTCTTATATATGTATCATATATACATATGCATGGCATGTATACAATAAATTGAAGATAATCTTAGAGGAAAGGCATTAATGTTAATGAGGTTTGGGAAAGGCTTCCCGTAGAAGGTAGGACTTTAGCTGAGACCTGAAGGAAGCCAGAGAAGTCAGGAGTCAGAGGTGAAGGAGACCGTTCAAGGCATGGGGGACAGCCAGTAAAAGTCCCTGGAATCAGGAGATGGCGTGTCTAGTGTGGGGAACAGCATGAAGGCCGGTGTTGCTGGATCACAGAGGATGTGGGCAGGTTAACGTGTAAGGACACTGAAAAGAAAGGAAGAGGCCGGGTCACGAAGGACTTTAAAGCCAAACAGAGGATTTTGTATTTGATCCTGGAGGTACTTGGGAGCCATTGTAGTTGTTGGAGCAGGGGCGGGGGAGTGGCATGGTCCGACGTGGGCTGTAGGAAGACCAGCTTGATAGATGAGTGGAAGGTGGACTGAGGTGGAGAGGCTTGAGGGAGGCAGACGCCCCAGCAGCTATCGCAGTAATCCAGGTGTGAGGTGACAAGGGCCCGCACCAGCCTGCTGGAGGTAATGTAAGAGGCGAGAAGGGGACCTGTATGAAATGTCTCAAGATTAAAGAGTTTCCCCTCCCTGGAGGGGTTGGACTTCAGGGACTCCCAACTTCTTTCCTCCATCAGAAGAGAAAACGAAGGTCAAATGTGAGAAGAAAGCAAAGGACAAGAATCCGAAGAGGTCAGGAGTAACAAATGATGATCAAGAAAGGGACAGAATAGAAGAGAAGGGAGGATAGCAGAGAGGTGGAAATGTCAGTGGATCATATGGAGTAAGAATGAAGGATTGAGAGGAACTCATGCAAGAAATGCAGTGAATGAAATAGGAAAGATGAAAGAGTTTATTTAGGCTGAAATTAACTCACATGACCAGGCTGCTGCCTCCATTCTTAGCTCTCTTTTCTTCCTGCAAAAGGCCTAGTAAATCCTACTGAAACCCTCCTCATCCCCTGTGCTTTTGCCGGCGGCACCTACAATTCTTAGAAGCCTCGGTCTCTAGCAGGTGTTATAAGAAAAGACCAAATGGAGATCCTCTTTTTGTGTTACTCTCCAGGCATTGTGAGCTCTCTGCTCTGGGAAGTATCAGTAGTTCAGAGATCCAAGATATTGTCTGTGTGGGTGTTCTCTGCCTCCCCTTTCTCTGGCCCGCTCCCTCAGGCCCCCCCACCTTGGTGGCTGGGGTTGCTGTGGCCGAAGAAACTAACGAATTTCCTCCTTGAGATTATGGAGGCAGGGCCTCGAATGCTGGGAACGTGACCTCTCTCCAGAGGATTTCCAGTTTGGTAGGGCCAGCCTGGGCTTGTTTTCCTCTGTGCAGCCTTCATGCCACCGGAGGGTCTTAAGATCGTAGCTTTAGAGCTCGAAGGGACCTTAGATGCCATCAAGCCCAATCCTGTCATTTTACACATAAGGAAACTGAGGCATAGAGCAGTCAAGTGACTTGCCTGTGTTACACAGCTAGTGTCTAAGGGTAGGATTTGAACCCAGTCCTGCCCGACTCCAAGTCTTGTTCTCTGTCCACTAAAGCACACTGCCAATCATCAGAAGAGGACTTTAATGGAGATTGCTTTTTATGGTAAAATTCGTTTCAATTCATGCTTCTCACCGAGACCTGTACTTACTGGTGTGAGCTGTTTGGGGTTGACCTTTCTGCAGCCTACTGACACAATCCACACCTTACGAACAATTCCCTTCATGCTGCAGAAACTTACGGTGGTAAGTTCATATTGACTGTGAAAAGGAGAGAATTGATTTCCAAAGTTGAATTTTAAAAGGGCAATGTGAGTCAGTTTACTTTTCCCTAAACCGAATTCTTCCTCCCCTATTTGAGCATTACCTTTGTGTAAAGGAACCATTTTTATCTCTTGGTAAAGAGTCAATTCCAAAGTCATGTAAAATATGGGAGGGGCATGCACACGCGTGTGCGCGCACACACATACACACGCACACACGCCCCTCCTCTCACCCCTGGCGTTTAATCTTGCTGTCATCTTCCCTGTACAGTCGTGGCCTGGGCTGTTGCTGTGTTCTCATCAGGAGGCTGAGAAAGGGTGGGTCACTGTTATTTCACAAGAGCTGCTGTTCGTTTCCCACTTTCCCAAGGGTGTCAAAAGCTACGCCAGAACCCTAATTTCCAATCTCCTATTCTTTTCTAACACATACGGCTCTAGCTCTCTTGTGCTTTGAAATCTGTTTGGCTTCCAAGAAGGGGCTGGGGGTGGAGGGGAGGAAAGGGAGACAGGGGTCCTATTTTTCCTCTTCCTGAGACAGCTGGCGATTACTCAGGGTTTATGCAAATAAAGGTCAAAGCCATTTCCTTGACAGGGTGGTAAGTGTTTCAGTCTGGTCGCTGCTTTCAGAAAGGCTCCTAAAATTGCCAAGAAAGGTACATAAGGAGTGAGCTGAAGGTAAATCTAACCTCAAGCATCATTACTAACCAAACTGGAGCGACACAACAATTTCTTTTTTGACATTTCCATCTGGCCTTTTCGTAATCTCTGTGTCCTCCCCCATTTCTTTACAGCACTCTGGTCTAGTGAAAAGAGTTTTGGATTTGGTGTCAGAAGCCTCAGTTTTCCTCACCTGCTAAAGGGGGTAATAGAAATAATAACTGGCATTTACATACAAGATTTATAGATCATAGATTTAGAAGGGACGTTAGAGGTTCTCTGGACCAACTCCTTCATGTTATGGAAGTTAGCCAGGTAAGTCTTCTAGCTCCAAATCCTGTCTTCTTTAACTGCATCACATTGCAGATTACACGGCTCTTAAAGAATGAATTAGCAAGAATAGATTGTTGTTATTGTTGAGTTGTTTCAGTTGTGCCCAACTCTTTGTGACCCCATTTGGGTTTTTCTTGGCAAAGATACTGGAGTGGTTTGCCATTTCTTTCTCTGACTCATTTGACGGATGAGGAAACCGAGGCAAACAGGGTTAAGTGACACGTCCAGGGTCCCACAGCTAGTGGGTGTCTGAAGCCAGATTTGAACTCAGGTCTTCCTGACTCCAGGCCCAGAGCTCTATCCACTGAGCCACCAACCTGCCAAGTATAGATGAAATGTCTCCTATGTTAACGTGTTAGGGACTTGGGATAGAAATATAAATTACAAGGAATGTGACTGGATCCAGAAAACAGCAGATTATCCTGCCCTTTTTAGTGGGAAGGTTGGGATTGATTTGATTTGGTGACTGTTCTGAGGCCTCTTTATGCAATTGGTATGGGTAAGATCATACAATTTAGGATTGGAAGGGATTATTAGCCTCATTCTGTAGACGAGAAAACTGATTTATAGAAAGGTGAAGTAATGTCCCCAGGAGGTAACACACATAGAAAACAGTAGAGCTGGAATCCACTTTCAAGACTTCTGATAATAAATGATACAGACAGGACCTCATCCCTTCGAGAGAAGCCTCATCAACCTTAGTGAAACAGCGTTGGATCCAGCCTGTTGACTTATGTAAGACGAAGGGGAAATGCCATTATGCAGGCCATCACAGCAAGAAGCATCTGTGCTTTCTCCTGGCTTCATAGGGTACTTAAGCTAAGGGGGAATTATTTAGTAAGTCAGATACTAGTCCTTTTCAGACTCTGCTGCTTTCCATGACAAATCCCCAACTCTCTGCAGCCCATTTGGATCCCTTGCTGACATCTGCCATACCATGCTGTTGAACTCCCCCAGCTATCAACATTCCTTTCCTTTGCAAAAACAACAATTCCCCCAAATCCCAATAAAGGAGGCAAAGTAGAAGCTAATTTTATAGGGAAGAGAGATACCTAGATAAACCTAATCAGATAACAATGCTCCTCTCCAAAAACATTTCATTTTCTATTCACTTTTCGTGTCCACTTTTTTTCTTCTTGCAAACATTCCCCACTTTGAGTAATGTGGTTTTGTCTGAGCAATCCTTGAAACAACAATTGGTCCTGGAGTTCCTTGTGCATATTAAAACTGTAAGTCTTCCTGTCCTCTGGAAGAAATCTTCTCCACGCATTTAATAATCAAGTTCATCTTTAATTAATGTAGCATTACCTTGCCACAAAGGTGAATTCTTTTGTGTTTTCTGATTGCCCTTGAGATTGAAGCTGGGTCTGTGCATTGATTTCTAGGTACGAGGAGCGTCACCAGATCAGCTCTAGTCTTGCCCCAGGGACCAGGCCCTCTTGACTGCACTGTGTCCAAAACCAAGATGAAACTCATGAGAGAGTAAGTAGTGTGTCGCCATATTGGATGTTTGTCCAAGTTACAACAAATATCAGAAAATCTTGGAATGTTATTCTAACAAATGTATTTCTAAAAGAGGGGATTTGCCCAAGGACAAATGTCTATATTTGCCTAAATAGAAGTTGAATTGGTTTAGTAAAAAAAAATTCTGTCAAGAAGTTCTAAATCCACCATGTCTGAATCCCTTTTTGGAGTCACTGGAGGACAGAGATACCCAATGCCTACCTCGAGTCATTCCTGTCTGACTCCACAGATTTATCTCTTGAGTTATTTTTGTTTCCTGTTGTGTTATTGAGTAAGTGGTTACATGTGAGCTAGTCTTGGCACAAGAATCTAATTTTTGTGTTAATGAGTTTGTCATTCTATGTTGTCATCTTGAGAAATGGTCTCCCAAATTGGGGTTGGGATCAGTAGCCTGACTCCAAGGAGTATATCATCAACCCATTGAAGGGTGGGAAAATAGTTATATGTCATTCTCCCTGAAAAAATGACTGTGGGACTTGTCTCAAACACAACCCCACCTATTCTTATCTCCCACTGTTCTTCCACTCTGTCCCCTTCCTCAGCAGTCAGGCTCCCAACCTCCCATCCTGTGAGCCCGTGTAGGCCTGTGAGACAGTTATAGGGTAACCATTGCTCAGACCTCTATAGGCAGTGGCTGTGTGGATGCCATTGAGGAAATCTCTCCCTCCTCCTCACTAGTATACCTATCTCCCCTCCCTCAGATCATCGTGTGGCTGCAGCAGGCCATCACTGGTGTGTGGGCTCTGAATTCTGAGTCAGTGGCCAAGGAAGAAGAACCACCTCTCCTTTTCTGGAGGTGGGGGGGGGATAGAATGAATCTTGAAAGATAAGCAGACTCAGATGAGTTGTGTTCTACATCTCAGATCTCGTTAGGTTGTCCCCCCACAGAACTTCTGCTTTTCCCAAGCATCTTTACTTCTGTTGAGGGCTCCATCACATCCTTCCAGTCCTTCAGATTCACCACGCCAGTGACCTCTTCAATTCCTCCTTCTCACATACCCCATGTGTGCTCTCACTTCTTCACTTAACTAACTTAACTTCTATAGCATCTCTCACATCAGTCTCCTCCTCTCTCTACTCACACAGCTACCTCCCTAGTTCAGGCCCTCATCCCCTCTTCCTTGGACTACTACAACAGCCTCATATTTAATCTGCCCCCTCTCCGTGCCATCCTCCATACTTGTCAAGGTGAATTTCCTAAAGCACAAGCCTAATGATATCCTTCCTCTGCTCAATAAACTCTTGTTGACTCTAGATGAAATTTTATTTCAACTGGATGTCATCCTTTTTTAATTCTGTTTTTGTACTTTGTAACTTACATAATAATACCTGTACCTGTATAGAACTTGAAAATAAGAAACTAAATACATATTGGGAAGTGTGCTCAAAACTTCTTTTTCTGCTACGGCTGTGTGGTCAAAGTAATTTGGAGGCCACTGATCTAAAGAAAACTTGGAAAGGAGAACAAGACGAAAGTTATTTTCTAATCCAGTACTGATTAATGTAATTAGATGCTTTGTACAATCAGATCCTTTATGACCTAATACTGTTGCAGGGGAAAGAGTCTGACATTTAGAGTCCAAAGAGCCTGGATTCAAATCTTAGCATTTCTACTTAACATGTGTGTGACCACGGACAAACCCCAAGTTCTCTAAGCCTCAGTTTCCCTTCTGTAAAGTGAAGAGGTCAGACTGGGGAAGCTCTGATATCCCTTCTAGCTCTCAATCAAAGAGCTTATGAGAGAGACAAGAAATACCAAATATTTCAAAGTGTAAATTCAGAATGACTCCAATAATCTTTTCTAACACCAATGCTGTTTGTTAGTTGGAGATCTTTGTTAAAACAAAATAAATATTTGCCGGTCTTCTGATTTATAAATCTCCAGAAAAGAGAAATGGGAGATAATTCACTTTTTTGGTTGGTTTCTTGAATCATCATCAGATATATTGTCTTACTAAGTTTTCATTACTTTGGCCAAGTGCATGGCAACCTGTTTTTTACTGTATTGTGAAATGCCATACATAAGTACAGCTGAAATCCATCTGACAATATAAATTATGACAATACTTCATATATCAGATAGCATTTATTTGTTGATGGTCTTTTCCCCTAATCATTCTGCAAATTTATCGGTTGGTTTTTAATATGAGTTAGCAAAGTTTGGGGCATACTTGTACTAGGGAAGTTTTGAAACATAAAAGCAGAAGACTCACCATCCTATGATGTTTTTCTTCCTATTACAGAATCTGCCTATTTTTGGCAAAATGATTCACACATGGCAATGGAAATTTTCTTCTACTTATCACACTGGATGAAATTTAATAGGGATGAGTGCAAAGTTTTACACTTGAAGTAAAAAAAAAATCAGTCTCACAAGTACAAAATGAAAAAGGTGGTTAGAAATTTGTCTGAAAAGCTCTGGGGGTGTTAGTGGATTGTAGGCTCAGTTTGGCAAAGGACACTGGATAGGCACATGATGGGTATGAGCAGGTCACAACGTATAACCAAGAAAGAATTATTCATGAGAAACAGCATAAAGAATATTATTAGAAACAAATATGACTGGAAAGGTAGTGGGCCAGTCTGATAGTGCGAAAGTTGACTTTTCACTGACTGACTGACTGATAAACAGCCTTTATGGGAAAACATGGATAAGATTATGAAAGATGACAAGCCATAGATGGGTTATGATCTGTCCCATTGGAGGAAGTCACCATATCAGTGAGATTACACATCCATTAAAAGTATCAGAGAAGAAATTGGGTGTTCCTTTTCAACAGAATAACTAAAGGAAACACAAAAATATTGTGATATTGAATGTAAAGGACTAAACTCGCCGATAAAATGAAAAAAAGTTACAAAATAGATTAAAAACCAGAATATGCTGCTTATAGGAAACCTTTTTCATCTAGATTAAGAATATATATATATATATATAATATGTATGCATATATGTATGTAATATATAGTATATAGTGTGTATATATATATATATAGAGAGAGAGAGAGAGAGAGAGATGTGTGTGTGTGTGTGTGTGTGTGTGTGTGTGTGTGTATGAAGTTTTGTCCTTGATGGCTTTGTGAATTTTTTTGTCTTTTTTTTTTTTCTAATTTGGCAAAGCTAAATTGGAGACCATAAGGAGAGGTCATTACAGCAGTATAGAGTAGCTAAGTGAAGACAGCCTCCCCTAGCTCTTGGATTTCATAATTCAATAACATATGGATTTCAAGAGCATCTTTCTTAGTATTTTCTTGATAGTTGCACTTTAGCTGGCATAAAATTAAATCTAGCAAAGAACCTTCAAGTATGACAGTGAAGAGCAGACATAATGCCGGGACTTGTACTTTACAGAATTTTGATAAAAGAAACCAAATTTGGGTTCTCAGTGGTCAGCTCATGGTCATCAACAGCTGAAGACCTGCACTTTCTCCCTTGGGGAGACTTCTTTGGACTTCTGCCTTATGGCAGCTAGGTGGTGCAGTATGAAGAGTGCTGGAGTCAGGAAGACCTGAGCTCAAATTCTGCCTCATAGAGTTATTAGCTATGTGACCCTAGGCATCCTGAGCCCTGAGGCTCTCTCAGCCTCAGCTTCCCAATCTCTAAAATGGGGATAGTACCTATCTCACGGGGAGGTTGTAGGGTCAACTGAAATACTGTGTAAAGTGCTTTGCAACTTCATAAATGCTAGTGATTGTTATTATTATTATTATTATTATTACCCTTCCATGTCCATAGTTGGGGTACACAGCTGGACACTTTCATTCCCTTTACAGTTGTTACCACAATTTTTCAGATCATTGTTCCTGGCTTATAATTATATCACCCCAAATGAATCCAGTTATGCCTCTTAACATGAAAAGCACCTGGAGAATTTCTCTCTGAGCTGGGGAAGAGACTGGAAATTGCTCTTCTCACCTTTGGTCCTGATTGTGTGCATTCAGACTGTGATTAGCTGCTCTACAAGAAATGAATCAGAATGCTTGATTAATCCCATTTTCTCAAGGAGGTCACCATAAGACTGTTCTCCCTCCCTCCCCCTTTCCCTTAGAGCTCTCCTGGTCTCAGACACAAGAGCACAGATGATGATGAAGACAGAATTAATAAACTTTAGGATTCATCATCTCTGGTGAAAGCAGGACAAAACGAAACTCTTGGTATTTAAAAACAACAACAACAACAACAACTATGGGAGCTCTGAGTCTCTAGTCTGAGTAGAATATATTTATAGATCTCCAAAGTGCCCCCCTAGAATCCTCCACGTCATACTCCTGTCTCATTTCCTAAATTCCTGATTCCCAATTGGGAGAGAAATGCAGCACTTTTTCTCCCCTTGTTCAGATATGTGATTGTCAGCAAACCACCTCCTCACCCTATTCCTGATGAATGATATTAAGAACTTCAGAGAAATAAAAAAGAGCTTTCTCATAAAAAGGAGGAGCCCTGTTCTCCAGCCTCCCTTCCACAAAGTTAAGACCTTAACCTTGGTGCCTCTGTTGACACTGTATGTAGGGGAACCCAGAGGAATGATGAAACCATAGAAAGTAACTGAAGCTGGTGTAGAAGAATCCCACTACTGTTGAAACATGCAGAAATGTCATTTAGCTGGGAAATGTAAGGAGAAAGGAGAGTGGATACTATTGCCGGTTGGATGAAGACTGGCCATAGTCTTATTGCCTTTGGTCAGAATTGGTTTGGCAGAATAAGACAGAGGAATACAGCTGTAGGTGTGTGTGTAACCCAGAGAATCTTTCCTCCCAAAAGTGTTTTATCTGCTGATCTGCTGAAAAGTCATCTAGAGAGAAATTGTGGAATGTCTGGGAATCTTAGGCAACGTGACTGTTCATGGTACTTACCCTGGAGTGTAGGGGATTAATTCATCAGAAGGGCAAGTCCGTGATGACACAGTAATTCAGATGCAGACTAAAGGTGATATATCTGATTTATTTGGAGCTAAACA